CGCCTTCCTCCCGCTGCCCTGCCCGCCGGCTCCCTTCGGCCAGGGCGCCGACCAGCCCGGCCGCTTCCCCCTCCTGACAGCAAGGACCGCTGGCGGCGATACGGGCACGGAGGAGTTTCGGCAAGAGCGCGAGCGAGTGGCTTCCTCCGGGCTCGGCGAGCGGGTCCGAACTAACAGTTCCCTGGGAGCCCAGGAGCCGAGAAGGCAGGCGACCGAGCGCGGACCGCGCCGGGCGAGGAGCCCCCGAGACAAAAGGCGAGCGCCGGGGCCGCCGCGCCGCCGCCGCTCCCATCTCTCTCCCCATTGAACTGACCCGAACCGGAGATTCAACTAAACCCCTCAGCCACAAACTCCTCGGGCTGCGGCAGCCGCCGCCGCACGGAGCCCGGGGCCCCGACCCGTGTCTCTCTTACCTACACAGTGCATGAGGCGGTGGCGCCAAGAGTCGAGTTCCCGCCGGAATCCTCTCCTCTCCGCCGCGCACCGAGGGCTCCGGCACTGAGCGGCGGCGGCGGCGGCGGCGGCAGCAGCGGCGGCGGCAGCGGCCATTCTCTCTCTTCCCTTGTCCATCTGCGTCCCGCGTCACGCGCCCTCATTTACATACGAGCGGCGCAGGCACGAGGCAGGGGCGCGAGCCCTCGGCGCGAGCCCCGGAGCGCGCGCCCCCCGGAGGGGGGTTGATTGACACGTGTCACTACCTTCCCTCTGCCCTTCCCTCCCCCTCCCACCGCTCCCTCAGGGAGAGGCGGGGAGGGAGCCAGAGGAGAAGGAAGCAACCTGCCGCTTCCGCTGACCCCGCCCCCCCATCCACTCCTCTCTCCCCTCCTCCCCCGGAGTTTACTCAAGCAAGCCATACCGCTCCCGCCGCCCGCGAAAACCCTGAGCGGGAGCGAGAGACCCGGAGCCGAGCCAGGAACCCGCGTGCTAAAGGAGCTGACTAGCAACGCCTCCTTTCTGCCTTGGCGCTGGCCATTCGGAGACTTCACTTCCCAGGCTCCCTTGCGCCCATGTCCCGAAGCGGAACTTGCGGCGTTGGCGCGGTGCAGGCTGGGCGTTGTAGTCTGGCCGAGATGAGCACCCACGGGTCCTCTAGCAAGCTGTAGCTAGCCGAGTGGCCTTCGACTTCTTGGCGCAGGACCTAAGGTGGGCTTAAACTCCCACTCCCTACCCCCAGGACTTTACACTGCCGGCGTTGTCCAGACAGACGCGCTGCTTTAGCTTCCACAATGGAAGTGCAAAAATTGTTGGTTCTTGCAAGTGTGCTTTAAGTGTTGGAAACTTTGAGGGGTCACTGTCATCTTGTCACTACAGGGAAAGGGCAAGCCAACTATTCAGTTGCATCTGAAATAATTGCCAGACGTCCAGAGATGCCGCAGTGACTTCAGTTTCCAAGGCGAAGAGATCATTGCAAAGCGGAAATACTTGCTAGAATTAGGGAAAAGATGAAAGACTTTTCACCGAAAATTATTTAAGGGAGAGGACGTAGCTGGCTGAAAACTCCAGGAGGGAATTTTTTTTATGATCTGCAAAATATAAACTCCTGGAGGGAAACCACCCCCTGAGACTTCTGTGCCTTGGCATCTTTCATTCGCCCTACCCTAGTACAGTGCCAGGATGTGGCATGGGATTCAGCACTTTAAATTTGTTATGGAGTGAATTCTGCGCTATGCTAAAGAAAATAACTTCTTCTGAGAGAAAGAAATTTTTGGTTAAATTTAGACTTCAATTAGATTTTTACTTTTGCACCAGAGCGAGCCTGCATTTATTTCTTGTATAGTTACAGAGGGCCAAACCCAGGCTAAGCCACCCAAAGTTTACTGAGAAGTGTATTACTGGGAATTTATGCACAAGTGCACAAGTCTATGGGAAATATGTTTCTGAGTTCTCTATCACCCTCCTTGTTTTATGGCTTATCTTCATCTACCTTTCTTACCCACTCCGCGCGAAGAAGTATTGTTCGTCATTATCTCAGTAGCGAAGATGTGATTACACCTTCATAAAAGTTTTTTTTTTTTTTTTTAAAGTGACTTTGGAAATCTTACAAACACCTTTCCTAAAACAGTCACATTTGAGACAGGTGAAATAACTAGTGAAGGTGCTCTTGAAATTATAAGTGAATGGTTTCAGTTACCACTTCTACACATAAATTGCTAAGATGATTAGACTTTGTAGCTTTCCTGATGGCTTCTGTAGTAGTCTTCATTAGTTAGGATGGAACACTTTGGTGCAGTCACAAAGGATCCAAAAATCTTAGTGCCTTAAAACAAACAAAACAAAATTTAATCTACATGTTCTTCTTCAGGGGTGAGGGACCTTCATTCCAGGTGGTTCTCACCAAGCAACTAGATGTTTAGGGAGGCTGGAAAGACTAGAACTTTCTTCCATGTTTGATAAACAAAAGGAAGATGAGGAATGTCAAACTAGTTCTTCCTAAAAATACCAGGAGTCTGTTCCACTCAAATTTCACTGACCAAAGCAAATCATGTAGCTATCTCTATCTTCCAGGAGTAGGGGAGGTGCAATCCATTTGCCCAGAAGAACGATAACTAGAATTTCTTAATGGAATAGCACCAAGGAAATCACAATTCATCCTCTAGCCACTAATTTACAGTTAATTCTTTACACTACAAAATACATTCACTCCTATTACAAGTGAGACAATCTGAAAATTCTGTTCAGTAAAGCATTAATCTCGAAGTCCAGCATCTCTGTATTGCTTGGTAGGATATATTAACCCTGGATAAAGCTTCTCTTGTTACAGAAACCTAAAAAGGCACAGTATCTATCCTCCCCCAATTATAGTTTACACACACACACACACACACACACACACAAACAAACACATTTAACAAATACTGGTGGGACAGGGACAGATTAACTATCTTAGTTCATTTTGTGCTGCTGTAACAGAATAACACAGACTACTTTATAAAAACAAATTTATCTCTCACTGTTCTGGAGGCTAGGAAATTCAAGACAATAATGTTGGCATCTAGCAAGAGCCTTCTTGCTGTGTCATCCTATGCAGAAGGGCAGAGGCAAGAGATTAAAAGGGTGAGCCAAACTCCCACTTTTCTAACAAATTCATTTTCAAGATAACAAAGTTAATCCATTCACTCTAACCTTTGAGACTCATTGCATCTTATTAGGTCTCATGTCTCAAAGTCATTGCATGAGAAAGTAAGGTTCCAACATATGCTTTGTGTCTGTATGTGTGTGTGTGTGTGTGTGTGTGTGTGAGTGTGTGTGTGTGTTGTAGGGGGTGGGTCACCTTCAAACCATCATACATTGGAAACATTCATATTTAGGAGTGGAAATAATGGGAGCCGTATATCAAATATTTAGCAAATAGTTTACCATCAGTAACTAGCATGGATTGCCATCTTTCCAACCTCTAACAAGACTCCTTGTCACTACCTATTGGGCCTATAAGATATAACTACATATTTTAATATTCTATCATAACTTTACCTTCTTCTGTATATGAATTTCTACATTCTTCTGGGTATTAAATTTCTACCAATTTAGGCAGAATGGCCTACAATATGCTCCAGTAACACAAACTCAAAACCTTAGTGGCTTAATGCAAAGGTTTATTTCTTATAATAGGTCAGTGTGGGAGAAGATGGAGAGAACTGTTCCATGTCCATTCAGGATCCAGAACTTATGAAGCTCCACCATCTGAAAGTTCCCCTGTCACCATGAAAAGAGAACAATGATGTGGAATCATAGTCCAGCTCTTAAAAGCTTCTGATAGAAGTGATACATTTCAATGGATAAAGCAAATTATACACCCATGATTAATTTTGAGGAAACAATATATTAGATACCTTTGAGGGAATAACCAACCATACCAAAACTTAATATCCTAAAAAAATCAGATGTTTATTTACCTTATGAGTCTATTGAATGATAATTTGTGCGAGACTAAACTGGATACTTTTTCGACACTTGATTGGCCCGCTTAGGTGTGGGCAGCGACTTGTCAGCCAGGTAGCTCAGTATCTGGAAGTTAGTTGATTGTCATCTGGGAAAACAGATCTCAGTATTCCTCGTCATCAAGGAACAAACAAACCAGGGCGTGGTTTATTTGCATGGTGGCACAGTCATAGGGTTCCACACAGCAGTGAGAGAGCAATCCCCTGCCTACAAGTGCTTTTCAAGTCTCAGCTTGGATCACATTTGCCCCAGTCATGACCAAACCCAGAGTCAATATGGGTAAACAAAGTCTACCTCCTAGTAGAAGGATTTGCAAGTCACATTGTAAAAAGACATGGATAGAGGGAATTACACAATTTTTGTGGCCAGTTTTTCAGTTTACCACATTTGGGGAAATGCAGTGTTACCATAATTCTCCAAAGGAAAGAGACATAGAAATATGGACAAAATGAATTAATACAGAATTTCTGGAAGAATGGAAGAATTGACGTCAGATACGACGAAATGCATAAGATGGAGTTAACTTTGGAACTCAGTTTTACTTAGAAGAGCAAAAATTTTTGTGGCAAATATAACAAAGTATATTATAACTACCCAGCAAACATAGAAATAGAAGCTTAGCTGATAAAATTGTTGCATTTGAAGCTGGACCAGGCACCAACTTAGTGCCTACTTGTTATTTATTGATTGGACAAATGTTTGGGATATCTATAAAGCCAAGAGTAGAAAGAAAGTCATATCAAAGATTGTCTCCTATACTGAAAATGCAGTTATAAAGGATCTTAATAGAACAACAAATATATAATACGAAAATGTTAATGTTTGAAAAGGTATTTTTGTTCAATTATCAACTTCCTATACAAGTTGTATTAGTTATTTTTTGCAGTGTAACAAGCCAATTCATAACATAATGACTTAAAAGAACAACTTCTTATTCTTTAGTCCACAGGTCAGATGAACTGTTCTGCTAATCTACAAAAGTTCTGCAAATCTTCACTAGATTGCTGATGATCAAAGATGGCTTAACAACATTGGTATGGAATTTGACTCCCTATTTGCTGGGGGTACTGGAAATGATTGACCTATTTGTCTCATCATTCATAGGCTTGGAGAGCTTATTTACATGTGGCAGCACGTGAAGCACAAGTGAATAAGTATTTAATGTGCAAGTATGTTCTATCTTTGCTTGCATCATATTTGATTGCTACTGTTCCATTGGCCGAAGCAAGTCACATGAGCAAACCCAAAGTCCTAGTGGGAAATACTAACAAATGGTATGGTCACAGAAAGCTGTGAACAAATTGGGGTCATTACTGCAATCAAACCACTATAAATGTCCATCCAAGTTCATCTACAACTGGAAAGCACATGTACAAAGTTCTTGTACGTGCTAAGAATAGATATAAACTGCTGGGCAAATTAATAGTTTATTGGTTTATTTGACCATTCAGCAGTTAATTCCTAATCTATGATCCATTTTAAGAGACAATTATGTGAAAATACAAATAAATTAAGTAGTGTGAAGTGAATTTCCATAGTAGGAAAATACAAAATTACAGAGGGGTTTGACTAGAGTCATGTTTTTTGGGATATTAACCCAAAATGAAAGCTTTTCTTTTCCTTTATACAAATGTTATATAATCCAATATACTAGTAAGATGGTAAAATACCTACTCAATTATGAATTACCAATATGTAACAGAAAAATTCATTTTATAATTAGTAAAACCGAAACACTTTGTATTAGATATTTATAACTATAAAGCATAGTTATCATATCTTAATTAACTATAAAAAACTTTATAGCACTGAGAAACCATCTTTTGCACATTTGACTTAAATCACATTTTTCTAATATTTCCTTTAGTTCTGAAATGCAATGCATTTCACTGATCAGATAAAAAACAAAGACATCCTGATTTGATCATTATACATTATATACATGGATCAAATTAATCACACTGTTCCATATAAATAGATACAATTAAAATCATAATTTATGAAAGAAAAATCAGAAACAACTTTGATTAACCAAAGATTTAGAATATGGAATATAGTACCCTTGCAGAAAATTTCTAACCATCTAAATAATTGTTGTGCTAAACCTTTTGCAATATCTTAGATTCATCAGGTTCATGAGCCAAAGATTTCTCAGCATCTTTTTTTCTTATGGGAATATGGACTCTATAAACAGTGTCATATCATACAGATATACACATGCTGATGCACTTACTTCCAATACTGTAAATAGAGATAACTAAAATACATGATGATTTTTGTCTTCTTGTTATATTTCCAAGTGCCATTAATACCTTTATGTACATTTTATAGAATGAAAGATAAACTCTCACAAAAGGAAATAATAATTGAGGAAGCAGAAGTTCAATGATGATGCATTTCTTATATTATAATATTATAATATCTACCTACCTCATATTCCAAGACTATCTTTAATGAACATGAGAATGACTATGATAGCTGGTCCAGTTCTGCCACTTGTCAAGGGTGGTACCTCAAATTTTGTTCTTTGTTTAGTTCAACCATGGGCCATGGGGTATTTTTACAACATCATTGTTATATCCTGTCATCATATTTATAATAAATTCCATAAAATTGAACATAATTTTTACTGTATTAAGAAGACCCAGACCCTAAACTGTCAGGACAATGAATACTGAGATTAGGGTGAGGATGTTTTCTATTCTTTAAAAAAAAATAAAATCATACATCCTTGAACTTGGCATTTGAATTTAATATCATTTACCATCCACTTTCTCTTGCATCCAGGCATGATAATAGGACTTGCTCTATCATTACTCTTCCTGTGTCCATTTGAAATCACTCCCACAGCCTAATGCATTATTATCACTTTCATTTTCAGCCTTTTAATAAAATTTCAATGTATTAGAGGCTCAATGATGGCAATTTGATCCAATTTAATCCAATTGCATGGTTCAGTATCAAAGTCAAATAAAAACGTCATCTATAGCACATAGACAATTACAGTTTAGAAGAAATACAGATCATCTAGGTCAATCCCCTAATTCTGCAGATAGGGAACTGAGGCCCAGAGAGGATAAGCAATTTATGTAGGTTACACAGCTTTTAAGTTGCATGACCAAACCAAAGTTCAATTTCCTGATTCCTATTCTTATCTCTTCTTGCAATAAGGGACATCAGTTGTTCCACACTTGCATATGTTATTAATTCATTTGCCATAACCTTAAAATAAGTACTTTTATTATTACCCCTGTATCCAAGAAGAAGAAATATAAATTGATCACCCAGCTAGTTAGTAGTGAAATTAGAATTTAGATCTGTCCTTTCAAGTTTAACTACTATTTTCCTTTAGAGAACAGAAAAGAAGGAGATAATGCTGGCCTGGAAAAGAATCAGAAATTGAGGAACCATGACTTTATCTGATTTTCATGAAGAGCAACTGATGATGTCACAATCATTATAGGAAATTAATGACATGCAAACATGACAAACATGACAAACAAAAAATTATGGTTCACAGGATTTAATCTGTCACTGGGCCAAACTGAAGTTTCTGCTGTGCCCCCAACCTAACACCTTGGTTTGTTCTACTTCCATGAAGCAAGTTTGATAATTTTTAACTAATTGATGATTACTACTTTCTATGCTCTTGAAACACTTCCTTTACAATTTTTCTCATGGGTCTTATTATATTTTCCATATATTATAATTACATGTAAACATATTGTTCCTTTCTACAACCTTGCAGATTGGAGATCAAGGCTTGGGTATTCACCATCTCTATATACCTGCTTTCTAACACTTTGTTGGTATCAAAGACATTTTTGTCAAATTGAAATGAAAGAGTAACAAATCACAAGTTTTTTAAAAAAAGAAAAATGGGAGGTATATAACTTCTTTCACCCCTACCACCATTCTCAAGACTTCCTCCTAAATCCAAACTTTTATTTCATCCTCAATGTCAAGACAGTGACAGAAGGAGTGGCATGATTTCTTTTTAAAGGGGTTTTTAATATGTATTTTGGAAAAACCTTATTTTTCTTGGTGCATATTAATAATAGGATAATTTATTTCATTGTGGTATATTCATACATATATGCAATATAGCATAATTTGATCAATTCTTTTACCAGTTCCTCCCCAACACATCCATTCTCCCTTCCCTTGATCTCCATATTCAACCCCAATGATCTGCCTTCCACTTTCATGACAGCTTTTTTCCCCCTCTAGCTTCCATAAATGACATTTGTCTTTCTGAGTCTGGCTTATTTTGCTTTACATAATATTCTCAAGTTATATCCATTTTATTGCAAATTACATAATTTAATTCATCTTGTAGTTGAATAAAACTCCATTATGTGTATATATATCACATTCTCTTTATTCATTCTTCTGTTGATGGACACCCAGGTTGGTTCCATAGTTTGGCTAGTGTGAATTGTGCTGCTATATGCATGTGTCACTATAGTATGATGACTTTAGTGCTTTTGGATAAATACTGATGCATGGTATAGCTATATAATATGGTAATTCAAGTTTTAGTTTTTTGAGTAAATAAACAAACATTGATTTCCATAATGGTTGTACCAATTTACGTTCCAACCGGCAGTATATGAGTCCTTTTTCCCTACATCCTAGTCAGCATTATTATTTGTGTTCTTGATGATTGCCATTCTGACTTGAGTGAGATGGAATCTCAATGTAGTTTTGGTTTGCCTTTCCTTAAGGGTTATATTTTAAAAGAAGAAATTAATATCACTTGGCCTTTTTTGTGTGTGAAACTCCTGATACAGACTGTCATAATTTCTTATGTGAATAAATGATACCATTTAACTTGCTAACACAACTTAAGAGAATCAGAAATATGAACAATTTATGAATTTTACAATTATATTTTCATGCTGTTGACAATACTTTAGACTTCGGTGTCATCATATATATTTATTTAGATATAAAAATAGTATAAAATACTCATGTTTCATAGTTAAGAGGTCAAATTATAAAACTCTGAGATAAAAATCCACTGGGTGGAAGAAATTATCTTAACATGTGGCCATAAGAAAGGTTTATTTAAATTATGAAATTGATTAGTGGCTGATATTAGTATTCATCTAGAGAAAAGATGTAAAATAAAAATGAAAAAGAATGAAGCACTTCAATTATATCATGATTTACTCTTGTAAAGAGATGTGAATGAAAATGTGAAGTTGGTAAAGCTTTAATACATTTACTGCCTTTGAACTCTTATTCAAAATTACATAACATTTGAAGATTTAAATTATAATAATGATTGAATTATAATTAATAATTACTTGTACAAATGCAGAATTTAATACTATCCTATTAGAGGCTTTCACATTTCATAGGCAAAACCACCTGATTTTATTTTTATACACCATTTATTAAGTTCTAAACATGACACTTGAAAGAAAAAGAAATCTAAATATAAAACTGTGCAAATATTTTAAATATCATTGGCCATCTCCAATCTCTGTTTCTCCAGTGTTCCCAGGGAATACAACCATTGCAAAGCAGAAGGTGAGAATGAGGGCAAGGGCTAAAAGCCCAGAGATTGGTCCATGTATTCTATAAAGTGCTACAGAACACTTCCTCTTCCAGCTTCATCTCCACTCCCTGGAGCCAGACATTTCTATCCTAAGCCCTGCAAGAAACATATTCTGTGGAAAAACTGGACGAAGGCTCATGGGTTTGAGGACATCAAGCAAAATGGAGCATGAGGCTAATGGAGACTGAGCATAGGTTATTAAGTAAAAGTTTGCTGAATTTCTCCCACCTTGTTCTTGGGATAGAGATATATATATATATATATATATATATATATATATATATTAATATCATACATTTGAATGCCTCCATGAAGAATAACTGGCCTTCTGCTTGCTCACATTTTCAGTAAATCTCACTTATCATCAAAACTCACTCACACAGAGAGCTTTCTATAAATATTTAAGGGCTTCACTTGTAAATACTCATTGACATTTGGTGAAAGCACCCAAGGAGAAAGAGAGAAGGGTGTGGGGGAGAGAGAGAGAGACAGATACAGACCAAAACAAACAGATAAAAGGAATTCAAAGAAAAAAGAAATTTCAGGGAATAGAAGAAAACTTCCAATTAATTATAATTTAAATCCTCAAAAAGATGAAAAAAAATTACATCATCAAAAGAAGAATTACTTTGAAATAAGATCCGATAGGAACAGAGAAGAATGAGAAATAAAGAGCTCTTAGAAATTAAGTATACATCAGACAAAATTAAAACAAATTCAGAAAAGGTGTTGAGAGATGAAGATAAGAAAATTTTTGAAGTAACATAACAAAAAAGGACATGGAAACAGTTCATGGGACATACAGAAAATTTCAAGAGCAATCCAAGAGTTCCAAACATCTGACTTACATGAGTTTCAGAAAGAGCAGACAAACTGAAGGAATGCTGTTATCAAAGAAAGAATAAGAGTTCCCAGTTCTGAGATAAATGAACCTCCAGATTAAATAGTTTCATTCTAAGACATATAATCATGAAATTTCCCTACCCTAGGAATAGTGAGAAGATTCTAAAAACTTCCGAGAAAAAAAAATTACACCATGGGCACTGTATAATCAAAAGAGCATTGGGCTTCTCAACACATGATAATGGAGCAATATCTTCAAGATTATAACTGAAAAGGATCTTCAACATAGAATTCCAAAAATGTGTTTAACTATTAGTCAATTGTACGCATAGAAAGGATTTTCAGGTGTGCAAGATCTCAAAAGGTTGACTTCCCATTCATCCCTTTTCAAGATGCTCCTGGAGGCTATGCCTCCTTGTAGCAAAGGGGACAAGAGTTCTAGGAAATGGGAATCCAGCACAAGAAGAAGGGTCAAAGGGTTCCTAAACCAAGGAAGGACAGACACAGATGACAGATGACAGCAGACCCAGAAAGCAACAAACCCAAATGCAAAGAGGACAATGGAGGGATTAAAAAATTTTCTGAAGACAAAATAGAGCAAAAATTATATAAAAGGTTTGACGTGTAGTCAATGAAAATTGGAAGCTTACTGGGAAGAGCAAGAATAATTAAGAATTAGGCACATAGGTAATTTAGAAAATAGGAAGATCCTTGATGATTTTTAATTTTTGTCTTTTTTCCAGGGCTGATGATACCAGCTGACACAGAAGGATCTCAATGAGCACTTGCTGAACGGATGATTGCATGCATGAATGAATGCTGATAAACTTTTATGTTTTCCTTCACCAGCACCCCAGGCAGTTTACAAACCATATGAATGTTTATGAAATCGTATGAATGCATTATTGACTTAATCATGTGTTTCCCTTTTATTAGTCAGACTTTCAGTTCTGAAGGACAGAAATTAAAGTAACATTTGTTTGATAAAAAAGGTAATTTGATTAAATTTTACTCATAAATTGCATCCAAGCACTCAAAAAGAACCTCTCTATCTTACTTCTGCTTTCCTCTTCGTTGTTTCTTTTCTCAGATCTCTTCATGTGCTGGCAAAGGTGACCAGGGATTGCACACTTAATCCACTAAGTTAGGAACACTTCTTGTTCAGTAATCATTCAAAAGCTCAGAAGTGATTCAATCGATCAACTTTTACTAATTTTTTGAAACAATCATTGTGCCCAAAGGAAATGGAATATTCTGATTGCTTAGGCCCAGGTCACATTCTCAGCTTTAGAATTGTGGGTCAGCCACATCCGAACCATGTGGACTCAAAATCAAGGAGACAGTGTCTCCACAGAGAATCACTAGGGCACTCTAAACCCCAGAAGGAAGTATAGATACCCAGACAGGCAAAAACAAGTAGCAACTTTATTGAAAAAAGTTCACCTGGGCTGGCGATGTAGCTCAGTGATAGAGTGCTTGCCAGGCTTGTGTGATACCCTGTGTTCAATCACCAGCACCTTGATAGATAAATAAATAGATAGATAATTAACCTACCATAATTTACTAGAGAGATAATAAAACTCCAGAAAAGCATTTCAAAAGAGAAAATAGCATTGAGAATGCTTGATAAATATCTCCTAATTTCTTATCTCCGACCTTTTTAACTTCTAGGTGTAGAAAATTGTATATTAGTACTGTTCAAAAGAAATGTAAAACAGATATGCAAGCCACATATGGAATTTTAGATTTTCTTATAGCCACCTTTAAAAAGTAAAAGTTAAATTAACTTTAAGAATATATTTTATTTAATCTAACATATCCAAAACACTCTCTTTTCAACATATAGTCAATATAAAAGTTATTTATGAGATATTTCACATACATTCTGTAGTAAAACTATGGTCCTTGAAATTCCATATGTATTTTACACTTGCAGCACATTTGGATTTAGATTAGTCGAATTTCATAGTCACAGTGGATAGAAGCCCCATTGGACAGAGCAGTTCTGGACTCTGAAAGTATTTGTGTACTAAGTAGAATTTTCATTTTCTCCCTCCTTCAACCAATTTCCTCTCTTAAAAACCTTCCCTTTCCATTCCACTCATCTTTCTTCCTCCAATCAAATAGGGCAATGCTAATTTATTCATAGTCTTATCATTTGGAAAAGGAAATAAGAAGAAGTGTTCACATATTTTCTACTTTTCAAGAGTAAGAGCTGAAATAAAATGGCAAATCACACTGGTGCTTTCCTTCTGCACGAGTTAAAGCAATATGAAACAGATGATCACATCTTGATGACAATTATGGTACTACTTGGCAGGAGTAAGTGAAGAAAGAATTTGGCTTGGTAGCATTAAATAGCTGCCCAGATAGATTCTATAAAGAATAGGAAGAGTGAGAAAAAGCAAGTTACCCATATGCAGCTAATGAAATAGTTGCATCATACTGCTGGGGAAATTTCAAATGCTAAGATAGAATACCTGTTAGCACACCTTATACTTCAAAGAAGTCTGCCTTGCACGTAGTCGCTTTTGAGAATAAATCCTCAGATGTGCTTTATTTTTTTTTAACATTTAAAAAACATGTTTTTTATTTCTATTATGAATCCCTAGACCCAAGAGTTTATTTTGGCACTTTGAGAATTATGTAAAACTTATTGCAAAAGCAGCATTTTCATTTAAAGCATTAGTTTCCAAGCACTCCTTAAGAAAGATTAAAAAAAAAAACTAAAATAAAAAAGTGCTTCAAAATGTCAAGTACTTTGGGAGGGAATTTTTCATGATTTTCTCAGTTCAAACAAAACTGCAGTGTATATTAAAATGTGACAATTTTATTTTGCAAATTTAGTATGATTAGAATTTACATATAGCTATAAAAATTCTGTTCATTTTCACAGACATAAACAACTTGCATTTTTAAAATCTAGATGATTTGATTTACAAACATAAATATTTAAGATGTATATGTTATCATAAAATTAATCTTTTGGTCAGAAAGCAATATCTCACATATAAAAATTCAGCAAAAACTTTGGGCAGCTAATGTTGGCCAATTGCCTCACTATTGAATCTCCAGAGAAAAGACACAGAACCTGTTTAGTGATCATGATATACCTCTATAGTTTTTGTTGCACTGCATTGGTACACTCTCCATTTAGAAAACAAAGAAGAAATAAAATATTTTTATTTACTCTATTAAATTGGAGCTTAAAATATTTTTAAGTCAAAGCAATACGGACATATGATTTAAAGATAAATTAGTATATAGTGACATATAATGAAAAAAAAAAAAACAATAGTCTGTCTTTTCGACAAGCCTAGTCCTGTTCCCTGGAGCAAACTACTTTTAACTTTTTAAACTGCTGATGCTAATTGTTGTTCTTGTGGTCACTTAGGACTGCCATATTCACTGTACTTCCAACAATTCACACGTGACACATGGCAGCCTCTAGTTAGCTCCAATCTCTAAATACTGTTTTTCACTATTATTGACATTAATTTTAGACATTATCAAATGATCTACTTTTACCTCCTCTTCTCTTTCAATATAATTATATCACTATTTCTGTGCATAAAAAAATAATACATTTGTGATTGCTCTGGGCTGAAATGCGTCTCCCCACCGCAGATTCCTATGTGGAAACCCTAAGCCCCAGAACATGAGTGTACTTGGAGATTTGGCCTTTAAAAAGATGCTTAAATTAAAATGAAGCCATGGGCCCTAATCTAGTGTGACTGGCATTCTTATAACAGGAGGAAATTTGAATACACAAAGAAAGGAATGTCAGTTTACAAAGAAAAGACCATGTGAGGACACCATGAAAGGATAGCCATCTATAAGTCAAGGAGAGAGGCCTCAGAACAAAACTGACTGCCAACACCTTGATCTTCACTTGTGGCCTCCAGAACTGTGAGAAAATATATTTCTGTTGTTTATACATAGCCATACAGTCTGTGGTAATTTGTTATAGCAACCCTAGGAAATTAACAGTGATTAAAAATGTAAAAGTATACATTTCTGCATCTTATTTTAACAACCACAGATGATTTACTTGATTCTTCCTTTATTAGGATGACGGTTTGGATCACCCTTACCTTTCTATTTGTTCTTTCTTAACCTCTCAGTTTGCACTTCTCATCCTCTCTACTTTCACATCAGGCTTGATAACATTTAACACCTATTCTTCAACCATATTTAAATTTTCTATGCTGTATAGATAGGTTGGTCCTTAAAATTGGTAATAAAAGTCACCTACATGCCATGATTATGTTCACTGAATAGCCAAGCCATTTATTTTTTATTTTCTTCATGATTTCAATTGCCTCGTTATCCTCCTGCATCGTGAATGTTTAAGTTCTTTTCAAGGAAACTTGCAAATCTCATGAATCGCCCCTTTCCCAGAATCCTCCTCTGGCAGCTTCTTGGGCTGCCTTTTGGGTGATGACCTAGATAATTACTCTAGCACTTCCTTGCTGTCAGGAGTCACAGATTGCTAATGCCATGCATTTCCCTTCTCGATTTACTCCTTCATGTACTGGGACAACATCCTCCAGGAATTTCATGAAAAGAGGTGTCTTGAGAAGTAAATTTTCTTAGTCTTTATATTTTAAATGTTTTCATTCTACCTTCACTCTTCATTTCTTTTACCTAGAACTTTGAAGAACATCATGCTAATATCTGCTGACACCCTGAATTACCAATGAAAATATTCATGTCATTTTAGTATTTATTCTATTGCCAGATCATTAAAAAAAAACTCTAGAGGTTTGTGTTATTTAAAAATTTTTGTGATGTTGGGAATCAAATCCAGGGCCTCACACATGTGAGTCAAATGCTCTAATGCTGAGCTACATCCTCAGTCCCACTCTAAAAGCTTTTAATGTTTCTTCATTCTTGATTTACTAAAATTTTATAATGATAAATGCAAAGGTAAGTCATTTTTCACTCATTATGCAGGGTATTTAACAGCATTTTTCAATTTGAAGTATCATATATTTCTGTTCTGGGAAATTCTCTTTCATGATTATTTTGGAATTTTCTTTCCTTCCATTTTCCTTCTCTCCCTTTCTCATGCTCCTGTCAGTCATCATTTATTCTTTATTTCTTATTTTTCTCTTGTATTTTTTCATAGTTCCCCCTTTTTTTCTGTTAAGGAAGTTTTTTTTTTATATATATCAAAATATCCTACTGATTATTTTTATTTACTTCAAAAAGCATGTTTTAATATCCATTGTGAAACAATGACCTTTTCATAGTATCTCTTTCATGCTTATGTTACATTTGCCTTTCAAATATGTCTGAAGATAGTCATTAAAATACTTTTTAAACTTAACTTCTCCCTCCTGAATTGTTTCCTCTGGGTCCTGTTCTCTTCTTTTGGTTTATCCGATCCCCTGTGTTCATATTTACAGTTTCCTCAGATGATTGGTGATCCTTAGTTATTCCTTTATACTTAAGAATAAAGAATTATAAAAACTGGTTGAAAACACTGTTTCACAGACAGGATATGCTAGCCAGGTTTCTTTTAGTCACAAATACCTGAGAAAATGAACTTATCAAGAGAAAGGTTTACTTTGGCTCACTGTTTGGGCGTTTTAGCCCCATGATTTCTTGGCCCCCTTGCTTTGGGCCTATGGTGGGGCAACACACCGTGGTGGAGCACAATGCAGACAGAGCAAAAGTGTCACCTCACTGCCAGAAGCAAAAGACTGAGATGACGGGTGGGTCCCATGGCCCCTTGAAGGTCATACTCCCTATGATCCAAAGACCTCCACCAGGCTCCACATCTTACAGGTTCTACTATCCCCCAAGAGCACCACCCTGGGAACAGTCCGTTAGCACATGGAACTTTGGGAAACATTCAAGGTCCAAACTATAGCATTGGGCATTTTAAGGAGCAATCTGGACTTTACAGTGAGCTTTTGAGCTGGATTGTGGAAAGCTTTGCTCTGGAGCACTATTTGTCAGCTATTGCTGCAATTCTGCTAATGATACTTAATTTCTTAAACTCATGGTTTATAACAACAGCAAATCTCTCTCTGTCTTTGCATGTCAGTCTGTCTGTCATCATGCTGACAAAACCTGCAGGTTTTCCAGGCTACAGGTAAGGGGTATGCATGCTCCCCATGTATCATTCTGGGATCTGTGGCTACTTGGGGTTCTTACCATGAAGATGGCAGAAATGCATGAGATCAAGAAAGACAACCTAAATTATTTAAAGCCTCTCCTTAATCACGTACATTAACATTCCATTGGTTCAATCAAGGCACATAGCCAAGCCCAAAATCATTGAGATGCAATGACTATTCATTCCATGATAAGCCCAGGCAAGGATTGAAGAGAAGGAAGACCTGTGAACTAATAATTTAACCTGCCACAGGTGCATGTATGTGTGTGCGATTAATGCTCTAGATTATTTGATTAAGTAAGTAATCATTTTTTTTTGTTTTCCAAGGAAAATACCAGGCTTTTGTTACAAATCATATACATTTAAGAAAAGGAATTTTTAAATAGAATAATAAGGCAATAGGTTCTACTGGTGCCTCATACAAAGCAAGCACAGGATCAACATCTGAATGCAAAGGTAGATGATTAAAAAAATGAATAAAAAATTAGTTTTATAAAAAGGAGGCCTAAGGATCTGGAAGTTTCAAAAACATTTATCCTTTTTCTTCCCAAATAGATGAGACAGTTTCAGACTCATGCATGAAAGTACACCTTACCTGCTCTGTAGTAATTCTCCTATCAACTAGAGTTGTTCAGTGAATATATTCAATTTTCAATATTAGTACATGGAAGATTACTTTAAAATTATTTTTGTTCACTAAAAACTGCTACCATTCAGGACAATTTACTAGAAGAATTTAGGGTTTCATAGTATAAATGTTTTATCATTTAAATAGAAAGTGTTCCATATTTTCAAGATTTAAAAAATAATTTATTTTATCAACAATCTCACTTTAAAAGAAAAAGCACTGGCCTGAAACAGATGGAAAATTTCAGCCCAAAAGGTGACTTTTTCCTGTGTTTGTTGGGCTACCTCTACTGACTTAAATTTAAGACTGAATTTGCAAACATTCTGTAATTAGAAAGTATTTGCACAATGATTTTCTTTTCTAAAAAGCTTAAAAACATTTAATATTAGCTAGTAAATTTTATTAAAAATAACTCCTGTGAATAAGCTTTCTGGCAATGATGAAAAATTTACAAAGCCATTTGGGCCGACATCATGGATTCCATTCCTGAAATGAGACCAACTGAATTGTTGTTCTAACAATTGTTCTTGGTTTGATTTCTTTCCGAGAGCTTTCTTATTATAAAATGTTGAATTTGGTAATTCAGTAATGTTAGTGGAATGCAAGTTTTATTGTGCAGTGTGGCACATCCACTCTAGAGTGTATGCTTTAGCTTCACCATC